AGTTTGCTGGTTTATCAGAGGGCTTGCCCGGCTTGGGTATTAGACAGAGATCTGCGTCTACTAGGTCGGATTCTAGACTGTCCTCGGCCTGCTTGGATGCTACGTGTTCGGAGAGGACCGGTGCAACGAGATCGCTACACAGCCTCCATACAGCCGCTGGTGCCGCTCCGTCAGGAACAGCTTTGTTCGGCTTGATGGAATGTATGTGAGCTGCTAGTTTGGGTGGCTCCAAAGCAGGGAAAGCGCCATGCATAGTCCGTAACGGAGGGTGGGCCGCAAATACCTGATTGGCATAATCCCTGAGGGCTGCTAGTTCCTGCGCTGGGCCTAGGAGATGTCCTGTGTTGTCCTTTAGCTGAGCTCTGCGCGCGGGCTGCCAAGGCTGCAGCTTTTTGAGGGTCTGGAAGGATATATGTTGATCACCTTCAGCTAGACTCGCATCTACCTCCGATATGAAACTTGCAATTCGATCTTTCTTTGCTTGTTTCACAGCTTGGCGATGTGCCACTTGTGCCAGCTCAGCTTCTGTTTCCGGCGGACGTGGCATGTTCCGATTAGGAGGCTGTGCCATTGCTTTAGGTGACTCGATCAGCTGTGCTGAGGGAGTATTCGCAGCCCTGTCATGGATGCGGGCCCGCCACATGCGACGGGTTTCCGATTCCAGCAGAATCGGTCTTCTTTTGGGAATTTTTGGGAAAAAGCGTTCTGCACCTTCCAAGAGCAACGCATTCCATGCCTTGGGGTCCTGGCAGGTGTCAATTCTGGAAGCTATCCAGCTGTGCAGTGCCTTTGCCGTCTCGTCTTCCTCTCTGACCGAGGCCTGTAAAGCTAGTGAATCGTAACGGCGCGTGCTGGGTTTGTGGGATGGGAGCAGCCAGTGATGCTGGAGGGGTACGTCAGCTTTAAGCGGGTAATGCCCCCCTTTCTTCCAGCTTCCCAACGGGCAGTCCACCCAGGGGGCTGACCTTTTTGCTTTGCCTCCCGCCGTAGATTCCTTGGTGAGAATGAAGTCAATTTGCGACTCCACTCCGCCTTGTGAGAAGGTAGCTATATGGTCACGCTGCCAGGTGTTGAGGGCAACCAAACGCAACCTGAGCAGCAGGTTAAACAGGTTGGATTCATCAGGGCGGTCCTCAGTAGGTGGCTTCACGTGCGGTCCCACCAATGGAGAGCTCGGACGCAAGGAAGTGTTAAAATCACCTGCCACAATAAGGGAGTCCCTCTTAGGCACCTGCTTGATCACCTTGGACATGACAGATAGCACCTTAGCACGGTCGTCCTTATTGGACTGGATGGTCTTGGCAGAAGACCAAGCGTGTTGGTACACCGCGACAACAACCAGCCGAGTACCTGCAATGTCCGCGCGAGCTTCTAAGACTCTACCCGGGCTCCACTCCTTCCAGCGTAAGCTCTTGGGGACGAACTTGGGAGAGAATAGGATCATGACTCCATCGGCGCGAGTCGTGGATGGGGCTCGCGGTTCTTGCCGAGTGTTTCGCTTTGCTGCTTGTTTAGGCCGGGTGTTGGGTTTGGTAGACTCCGAGGCTGAGGAGATACAGTACCACCCAGAAACGCTGAATTCGCTGGTCTCAGTCCAGTGCGTTTCCTGCAAAATGAGGATGTCGCAGTGATGAGAGGCTTCAGCTGCTAGCCATGTTTTGAGTTCGCCCCATTGCTGTTGGCCTAGGTGGCCCGCGTTCCACGAAAGAACTCGAATGGATCTTTCCAACCTTCCTGCCCTGCGGGAGGCTGTGCCATATGCAGGGGAGTCAGCAGTCTGTGACTGAAGCTCTCTTCGAGTGGGTGGGGGGCGCACCCCCAGACGATCGACCAGGGTAGGTGTCAGAACCTGCCCTCGGTATGGTACGGGCCCGTCACTACGGACTGTCCTTCTACATGCTGTCTTGAACGAATTCTTACGAAGAGATGCAAAGTTTTGTGAGTGCACTGGCAATTGCGCCATCCGCTACTTTCGTCAAGAGACAGAAGCCTAATGACTCCCTCCACCGCGCGGAGGTGGAAACCCTACCGCCTACCCAGTGTTGCAATGTTTTAAACAGAGTCTGGGCCCAGGAATTGGGACCTGGCGGCTCAAAGCAGCTCCTGTGAGAAAAGGGAGAGGACCATGGCGTAGAAGGAGGCACAAACCTTTACTGTTCAGAAAAGGGCCCGGTTGGAACCTCTAGCACAGCAGTTGCGCCCCAAGCCTGTTCGAAACCTCTCATTCAGCGCGGCCGCTTGAGCACTTGTGGCGGCTACTACTACTACTACTATTACTACTAGTACTACTACTACTACTACGACGACGACTACTACTACTACTACTACCACTGTCTACTACTAGTGCTAGTGCTACGACGACTACTGCTACCATTACTGCCACCACCACGGCCACCAGCACCACCATCAACACCAGCTGCCACCACCGCCACCACCACCACCACCACAACTACTACTGCCACTACGTAGTACAACTACCAACAACAACTACTACTACTACGACTACTACGACTATTACTACTACTTCTACTAGTACTACTACTACTACTACTACTACTACTACTACTACTAGTAGCAGTAGTAGTATTAGTACTAGTGCTAGTACTAGTACTAGTACTAGTACTATTACACGTACTACCTACAGTACCAGTACCATACCAGTACCATACCAGTACCACCAGTACCACTAGTATTACTACTACCACTACTATTACTACTGCTACTACCACTACTACTACTATTACTAGTAATAGTACTACTACTACTACTACTACTACAACAACTACTACTACTACTACTACTAACTACTACTACTACTACTACTACTGCTTCTACTACTACTATTACTACTACTACTACTACTACTACTACTACCTACACTACTACTACTAGTGCTACTAGTACTACTACTACTACTACTACTACTATTACTACTACTACTACTACTACTACTACTACTACTACTACTACTACTACTACTACTACTACTACTACTACTACTACTAGTACTACTACTACTACTACTACTACACGACTACACTACTACTACCACTACTACTACTACTACTACTACTACTACTCCTACTACTACTACTACTACTACTACTACTCCTACTACTACTACTACTACTACTACTACTAGTACTACTACTACTATGACTGCTACTACTACTACTACTACAACTACTACTACTACTACTACTACATGACTACACTACTACTACCACTACTAGTACTACTACTCCTACTACTACTACTACTAGTACTACTACTACTACTACTATGACTACTACTACTACTACTACAACTACTACTGCCCCCACTACCACTACAACTACATCTACTGCGACTACTACTACTACTACGACGACCACTACTACTACAACTAGTACTACTACAGTAGACGACTACTACTACCACTACGACGACGACGACTACTACTACAACTACATACAACTACATCTACGAGTGGCCTTGGGCATGAGAGGGATTTGGGTGTTGGCTAAGTTTTCAGCTGTTTAGATAGAGGATTTGGCGGGTTTAGGGTTTAGGGTTTAGGGCCCCCCCCCAAGCCAGCAATGAACAAGGTGCCGAGGAATGGCGCCGAAAAGGCAGCCAGAACAAATGGCGCCGAAAAGGCAGCCAACTGATGTGTGTGGTTGTTTGCTAGATTCCTCAAGTTTTGGCATGCATTGAAGAGACAATCATCATTTACAACATGTCTTGAAGCTAGCATGTTGCAAATTCTGGCCACCCAGACTGCCACTGGTGCCCGCGAAGCCAGATGAGGCCAGAGATGCTTCTTGGAGCTTGGCACACACTTGCAACACACTTGCACCTGGCACCCTTAGTGCTATTACTACTACTACTACTACCACCCGGCTACTACCACTAGCACTAGGCACTAGTTCTACTTCTACTTCCACTGCTGCTGGCAACGCAGCCATTGTGATCATTTGGATCCTGGGCAGTTTTCCCCTCCTGCCCTTTCTTCTCGAAGGGGCGTGCTTCGAGGTGCCTGTGGGTTGAAAGAAGAAAATGCTGACTTGAATTTTTGCCTCTCCTGGTTGAGTCCGCTTTCTTGGTTTCATTAGCTTCAACTGGTTTTGCAGATGGGACTCTGCATTAAGTCTGCCGCCATGAAAATGGCTTTCTGCCCTGCATGACTCTCACCCTACTGTCATTTCATTTCCATAATAAATTGATATTGCATCATAAGGTCTAAGCCTAAGGCCAAACCAGCTCTGGTAATGTTGAATCACCTGCCTCTGGGCTTCCTTGCCTTCACTGTCTTTGGAAATTAAATGACAGAGTCATTTGGGATTCTGGCTAGAGAGTCATTTAGTTTAGTGCGCTACACCCCCCGTAGCCCACGAAACTTAATGACAGAGTCATTTGCCCATGTTCCTGAATAACATGGCTGTGAATTCCTCCACCATATCCTGAATCCTGCCAGGATTCCTAATGAGTGCTGAAAGCCCACTAGACTTAGCCTCAGCATTAGAGGCCGGAGAATAGTGGGTTACACCCCCCCTAGCCCACTATTCTCTGAGGCAGGGTAATGTGCCCACTATTGTTCGAGTTGTCATTTCAACTCAAACAATAGTGGGCACATTACCCTGCCTCAGAGAATAGTGGGCTAGGGGGGGTGTAACCCACTATTCTCCGGCCTCTAATGCTGAGGCTAAGTTTAGTGGGCCTTCAGCACTCATTAGGAATCCTGGCAGGATTCAGGATATGGTGGAGGAATTCACAGCCATGTTATTCAGGAACATGGGCAAATGCTTCTGTCATTAAGTTTCGTGGGCTACGGGGGGTGTAGCGCACTAAACTAAATGACTCTCTAGCCAGGGAATCCCAAATGACTTTGTCTTTTACTTTGCAAAGAGGTAACGGAGATTGGGGATGTGGTGGGGCGGGACACAACAGTATGATGTCAAGACTTGATGGCAGCATCTGTTGGAGAAGTGAAATCTTCAGTCAGTCACCCTCCAGGTGCCATGGCGGCTCCATTGACCAAGGATGCTGTGATTAAGAAGCTGAATGCCGAAGTGAAGAAGATGTTTGTGCCAACGGACCTAGCAGACCCGAAGTCTGGCATGCATGTCCTGGATTACTTCTTGGGATTGGACAGTGTGGCATGGGAGCAGAGCATGCAAGAGCTCGGCGTGCGCTTGCAGATGCTGGGGTGGACACAAGAGGTGGAGGTCACACATGTGCCAATGGCCACCACATCCGTCGACTTCAATGGCAATGTAACGCTTTTGTCATTGAGCTGCATGAGAGGCAGGCCAAAGTTGGTGAATGTCGTGGAGACCTTCCGGAACTTCCTGGACTCCACTTACGACAGCAAGCGCTCCCCTATTGTGGTAGTGCCGGCTGGCAGCACAGGACAAGCTGTGACAGCTCGCTCCTTCCATGTGACCATCGGCATGACGCGGAGTCTTGCGTGCAAGCTGCTGTGCACCCTGGCTCAGAATGTGTTATCAGAAGCCGAACTGGCGCTGGTCCAGTCGGAGGTGGCATCGTGCTACCAAATCCGATGTGTGATGAATGCTCCAGTTGCTCCCTCTGATGTCTTCGCAAGTTCGGTCCGTGCCAAGTTCATAGTATCTGAGTCTACGAGGCCAGATATTCTTCAGCTCTACGCTGGACTGCAGGCAAACTTCTCTTTGCAGGGCCTGCTATATCAGGATTGCATCGCCAAGTTCATCGCCAGCTTCAATGCACGCTCTTCTGTGGACGCTGCAAAGCTCTCCGAGGGAGAGGTGAAGATGCTCCTCATGTTGCCCTCTCAGGAGACGCTCTTCGTGGAGTCGCTCTCGGGGCACTGGGACCAGTTCAAGAAGGAGGACTCCGGCATCACAATGAAGACATTGCTGAACAATGTCGGCCGCACAAAGCCCAAAGATGCCAGGGTGCCAGGGCTTTGGCAGACGGTGTTTGCCCCCAGCGCCAAGAAGAATACCTACTTTGTTCTTCGTGAGATAGCAGTCTTTGTCAAAGCTCTGCAGCAAGCCACCAACTCCTTGAAGAAGGGGGGGACTTTCAATCTGCGGCAACGTGCAGTAGCACTGATCACATTAACCCTAGAACCCTAAATACATAGTGGCTCTGTGAGGGCTTCACATTTAACTTGGTTGGCAATTCAGAACATATGTGCATCAGGCACGCTTGCGAGACCAGAGCCCGGACATCGGCTATGACATTGTCTGCTGCTGGGCTCACTGGGAAGATGACTTCCGGAAGGCCCTTGGTGCCAAGTACGATGAGACCTTCAACAAGTTTCTTGCAGGAGCCTTTGACAAGGAGTTCAATGAGAAGGTCAAGACTCAGGATGGCGCCCTTGTCCTGGATGACTGGCGTTTCCTGTCCATCTTGCAGGGGACAGAGACGACAGTGAGGAGCTTCGAGTTGAAGCAAGCTGAAGCTGATCAGGCAGCTGAGCGTGCGAAGTATTCCGCATGGGAGGCCGCTGTCCTCAAAGAGCAGCAGCTCTTTCAGGAGTACTGCGGGAAGCTGCGGGCGCATGAAGCGAGAAGGCAAGCTGATGAGCGGTCTTTCTGGCTGGAGGATGCAGAGTCCTTTGAGCAGGCCTGCTCCCAGTACATGGAAGCCTGGGTGCCAGTGGCTGGCCCCATGAATCCTGAGTTTGTGACTGCACAGTCGCGTGTCATGCTCAATGAGTTCGCTTTGCGGCAAGGCGTCCAGGCAGATGCTGTGGTCAGCCTGCTCATTGCAGATCTGACCAAACTGGGGTCAGCCTTCTCGAAGCACTTGACCAACATTGTAAAATTCGTGGCGGACCACGTCCAAGCCGACCCCGCGAATGCAGCAGCTTTGGTGCTTCCTCCCAACACTGGTTGTTGGGGGTCCACCCATGATGAATCGGAGATTGACAAGGCGTGCAGCGACGTTGAGTCTTCGCTGAAGATGGAGCATGGGGCTCTTACGGTTCGCAAGCTCAGCCTGACCCTGTCTGAGTCAAGCCTTGCTGCACAAAGCAGGCGGTGCGGATATCATGAAGCCTTCTTTTGTGTGAGCACGGTGAAAAATGGAGATGGGGATATCTTGAGTAACTGGGCCAAGTCAGCCACCTTCTACCGCCGCACAATCTCCGATATCCCCGTTTCAAGCTATGCAGACTACATCGTTCCAGACCTCTCTGCCATCCATGGGTGCACATCAAAGTCGCAACGGCTGAAACAAGCCTTGGGTGGGGAAGGTTTCTACTTGAAGCTTCTGTCCAAGCTCCGACAAGGCTTGCCATCGAAGGCAGCTGCAGCACCAACTGTTGTGGTTGACATCACACCCTACGATTTTCAGCTGCATCATTGTCATGTCTGGACGGCATATTAGCAGAGAGAAGCATAAAATAACCTGAGTCTCATAACTTATCTTCCGTGCCTGCTGCGAAGAAGTAGGCTGTGGACTAGTCTCACACGGCATGTCCCTGCAGAGGGATTGAATAATCTGGGGCACGGAATGTTAGCAAGTTGGTTGATGCTTATTGGGCAGACCGTCCTACAGTTGGCCGGACTCAGGGCTCTCATGCATAATTTGTTGTGCGCTGCAAGCAGCAGAACACAAGAGAGATCATGGAACTAATTGCTTGGAGCCTTGAGGGTGCAAGCCAGTGGTTGTACAGTGGCATGCATGTGGACATATTGTGACACTTGAGTCCCTGTTCTGTCATTTTGGCAAAGTTCAGGACCTCAGCATCATCAAGGCTCGGACGTTGTCTTCCTTGGAGCCACATGCCACTCCTACCATGGTTGCTTCGGTCATTTGGGCACGGGACGACAGTGGCGCAGACCGGCGGAACCAGCTCCTGGAGTGGCTGACTGTGAAGTTCAAGCGGAGCATGCACGACCTTCTGAAGGAGCGGCCAGACATCCTGGCGCAGTATGGGTACAAGCCAAAGAAGCTCGAGGTGACAAGCCTGCCATCCTACAAGGACGACGACTTCATTTGGACGATACCTGTGGTCGAGGAAGGGAAACATTTCCTGCCAATGAGAGCCGACAAGCTGCAAGAATTCCAGAAATCCTTGAATGTGAGCCAAGAGATGATGGCCACAGCTGTTCTCGAGCACAACAAGAAGTTCAACCCTGCCGGCCATGCGTGGACTCCCACAAAGAAGCGCACAGCTGAGCATGCTGACCTCAACAAGGGCGAGGCATTGGACCTGTCAGCATCTGGCAAGGTGGAGGACCTGGACCAGCCTGTGGTGACAATTGTGCCAGAAGGGGCGACCAACTTCAAAGTGCTGGTGGACAGCAAACGGCAGGTGTGGCTGCAAGCCACGAGTGATGGCGAAGTTTCCGTGCACCAGCCCCTGATGTTGGCTTGGGGCTCCTATGTTACTGGAGCTGATGTGGAAGCTCGTGTTCAGGCGAAGGCCTCTTTGACGACGATGGCATTCCAATCCGCAGATGCCATGGCCTACTGCTTCCATGAAGCTTTGGAGAAGTTGTCACCTCCATTTGTGGGCAAGTGCTGCAGCATCAAGGAGTTTCTCGAGTACCTGGAGACGAAGGGTGTCATCAAGCCGTTCTTCGTCAGCCATGAGCTCAAAGTTTCCAACAGTGATCCGAAGTTCGCTCTGAGCACCACAGAGAGTTGTGCCTTTGAGAAGAAGACACTGCCTGCAAATCAGCAGGCAAATTTCAGCAATGCTTTGAGCATGTTGGACCTGGAGGCCCTGGGTAAGGAGCAGACTCCGAATGTGTCTGTTTCCCATCGCCTCAAATACCTAGACAACAAGCAGCAAACTGGCATTTATCCTCAAAAACCGGGCCTCTTCTTGAAGAAAAGGCTCCTGATTGCCAGTGGCAAGCTGTACAGGCTGGTGTAGTTTGCAGAAGCACTGAGCAAGCGCATTTTGGCCTCATATAGCCTGGGGTTGTTGATCTTATGTCTTACTTGGGAGCACGTACGCCTAGTAGTCTACATATGCTGCTGGGAGAACTTGGTGCTGCAGGCTGCAGGCTTGAGGAAGCGTCTTGCAGTGAAGTGGAAATCAATTGCGACTGCTGGGTGAAAAATCTTCCTGCAAGCACGGTGACAGTGAGCTTTTCATGTTAGATTAGAATGGCGCTGAGAAGCAGCCAGAAGAAAGGCGCTGAGGAAGCAGCCTCAAAGTTGTTGCTTGGCATCTTGCCTTTTGCCCAGCTAGCGGCTGGTGAGTTGAATGTGTGCCCACCACTGTGTGTGTCCAAGCTTCAAAGGTTCATATCATCCATTGCCCATTGCTGTCCCCCGTGCCATTTGATCATGGCCAGTGTTTGGATGGGCGATGCTGCGAGTGACTCTGACCAGATGGAGGAAGAGTGGGACGAGTCCACGGCCACCGTCATTGTAGAACCCCCAAAGAGCAGTACCGCTGCACCTCCAAAGAGCAGTGACGCTGCACCTCCAAAGAGTACGACTGCTGCATCTGGCCCAAGTCATGTGGCATCAGCTTCAAGTGCGCCGGAGGATGAAGGACAGCAGAACTCGAAGTCCCCTACATGCTGGATCAAGGCTGCAGCTGCTAGATCTGCTGGCAAAGCCAAAGCAAAGGCAGAAACTCTGGCGAAGCCCAAGGGTGTTGCCCACCGCATCCTGAGCAAACAGGCTCGCGACTCGGTGTCAAAGCCACGGTCGGCAGACAAGACGAAGCGGGCGGCGCGGGGTTCGGCGCAGACCTTTGCAGGACGCAGGCCCCCTAAAGATCCACAATTGTGCGAAGCTTTCCACACCATCAGGCAGGGCTTCTACGACGAAAAGAGCAAGCGCAAGGCGGAGAAGCGCACCATGAGTGTGGGCCAGGAGCTCTTTCTCCTGAAGATGAAGGACTTCATGGAGAAGGACAAGTCTACGGATTCAACACAGGTGTCTAGGCCTCTAGGCATGTTGTTTTGTCTCCAGAGGGATAGCTGGGCTGCATGCTGTGATGATTGCATGCATGGTGCTCCAAGGTGAAGTTTCAGAAAGCCATTGCTGCGTGGAGGGCAGAGGGTACTTTGTGATTGACACAGAAACTTCAGCAGTGGATGGTGCGTGAGCCGAAGCTTGTGGGATGGGTTACAGCAGCTGCCGACATCGGGACATGTAGGGGCAGCGTCTTTTCCAAGAGCAGATCTGGCGCAGAAGCCGTTGCTGATTTTGCTGGGGCAACATGTCCATAGCGATGCTTTGTCAGGGAAGCCTTTGGCAGAGCAAGTGTATGGTACGCAGCACCCTTGCTTGCTGCACAAGGAGTTCAGATTTTTGCACTCATGTGCCTCACATCTCCAGTGCCACATGAACAGTTTGATTCTGTTGCTATTTGGCAGGCTTCTTCGCCAATGCGTCCACTGGTACGGAACCTGGACTTGGTTAGGCTTCAGAGTGGAGACCTGTCAAGAGGGCTTGGTATCAGGTGCCCTAGAACTTCTTGTTTAGGGTTTAGGGTTTCTCTAAGAAGGCAAAGCCATGACTGATTGCTTGGGGCTTCTTTTTCAGAGGTATTTCCGAAGGTTTGCAAGGGCATGGGCAAGAAATGAGACAAGCAGAAAGCGACAAGCAAGAGAGAAGCCTGTTGCTGCCATTTGGCCGTGGTCCTGGTAGCGAAGCTTGTCTGCTTATCAGGTGTTTGGCCCAAGATGTGTAGGCTGAGATGGACATCCCCTGTCGTTGTTTCTTGAGACAAGTTTCTGAACCCTAAACCCCAACATAAACCCTAAACCCTAAACCCTGTTCAGCGGACGTACACACACCACTGATGTTGGAAACCTTGAATCTCTTCCGTTGACTTTCTAGGATAGTTGAACATGCATGTCGAACTGGAAAGACTTCAGTCTCACAGAAGACAAGTGCCGCGGCAGTGCCCCTGACTGGAAAGTCTTGCCTTTGGAGTCGGATGGCAGTGAAAGCCACAGAGGCAAAAAGAGAGCTGGCAGTTCCGAGAGTGTGAGGAATTGGACTGATTTCCCACTGGACGGGGATCTGGAGGCCCAAGGGCAAAACCCAGTGGGTTCATCCTGGAAGGACTTGCCTCTGGATGGAGAAGTTCCCCTTCCGAGGAGCCGCAACACAACACATGTTAGTGGAGCAGCTGCTGTTCGTATCCCACCAAGCAAGAAGCCGTGCGTGGACAAGGACAGCTGGAAAAACTGCTTGTCTGCAGAAGAGACTGTGGCTGCAACGGATTCCGGGCCTCTGGAGACTCTGGAGGTAAACCTCACGAGGGAGCTTCTGTCGTGTCTGCCAAAGTTGCCGCTGTCGCAGCAGACCTCTTACGCGCTGAGTGGCAAGGACAGTGGACGCATCCAGACTGCATTGAAAGCGGGATGTAGTTGCAGTGCCAACTGCTTATCCAAGCTCCACAAAGCACCGACAGAGGCCATCGTGCGCATGTGGCATGATTTAAGCCCTGAAACCCATGTCATGGTGCTCCATGGTTTGTACGACTGCCCTGAGCAGATGGAGCTGAGGAGGCGGCACTGGGCGGTGAACAGCCAGCATGTATGTTTTCGTGGGTTGGCCAAGCTCCTGGGTCACAATGAGCGCACACTGCGGAAATGCATCCATGCTGATGCTGACAAACGACGGAGTCCTGACCTACGCCTTCCAAGGGATTGCCCCCAGACGACATTTGTGCATCACTTCTTCCTTGACCTTTACCTCAGCGCCGCGGAAGATTTGCCGGAGGTTGAAAGCTTGCAGAACCCACGCTGCAAACTGGTTTTGATTTTTTTTACTTTCTTGCTTACTTGTTCCAATGCCTAGTTCGACCTCTTGCACTGCAGGAATGTCGATGCGGTAATCGAGAAAGGCGAGGCTGCTGAGCCACATACTTTTCACTGGTCACCGGACACGCCCGTTGTGGACCGCATACTTGCTCTTCTCTCCGACAACTGCACTGCCCCTGTGCGATGGCTCCCACCTGGTCAGCTGAGTGACCTTTGGTTGCAGTTCCTATCGTGGTCCGAGTCACACAGCAGAGTGCGCAAGACGAAGGATGCAGTGAAGATAGGTCCCGTCCTGCAATTTGTGCCAGGCTGGTACACTTTCTACAACGCTTGGAAGCAGCACTGGCATTTGCGTCGCCTCAGATTCAGACCCACATCGTCACACAAGGAATGTGACGTGTGTTTTCAGCTCCGCGAGGCTTTGCACCTGCGATCCCTGTCAAAGGATGAGAAAGTGGCCAAGGCAGCTGAGTGGAGACAACACCTTGCTGACACGTATCATGATAGACTGGTGTATTATACCATGAGATACGCAAGCAGGGCCCGTCTTAACATTCTAACTGTCATACTGGACAGCATGGATAAAGCCAAATGGAGTTATCCAAGGATGAACATCAGCCGACAACCTGAGAGTCTCGAAAAACTGAGAAGACCGAGACTGGTTGTCACAGCAGCCCTTGCACATGGGTTCGCCACTGGCTTGTTCATCCAGGACAGTGAAAGGGTCAGCCACGGGGCCAACTGCTTCCTGGACCAGCTCTGTCGAACGATTCAAGTCGTCAGGGCACAAGGACCTTGTCCGGAACACTTGTTTTTGCAAACCGACAACACGACTGCGTTGTCGAAGAACTCTAGCAGCCACCTCTTTGCAGCGTTGCTCGTTGCCCTCAAGCACTTTTCTACAGTCAATTTGGGCTACTTGACCAAAGGACATACTCATGAGGACGTTGATGCATATTTCTCAAGGCTATTGCCAATCATTCGCCGTTCTGAGTTCAACACTGTCTCAGATGCTGCAGATGTCCTGCGTGGGGAGCTGCAAGGGGAGGCGCATGGCCACCACGATCCCGTCGTCGTGCAGGAAGTGAAAGCTGTGAAGGACTTTGATGCATGGCTCCACCCTTTGGGTATCAAGCTGCACAACACCTTCAGAACTCGGAAGCTTGGCTGCCATAGTGCAATAGTGCACCCCTGGCTCCGATGCCCCTGGATCCAAAGCGGATTTGTGCATGATGGCTTGGGTGACTGTGGGAAGCATGACATTTGTTCCCGACCCTCCGTGTGGGGTTGCTAGATTTCAAGTCAGCTGAATCCCTGGAGTATCCCTGGAGTGCCCAAACACTGAGAGGCTCCCATAGTTTCCAGTTTGCTATACACTCATTTTTATAGGCCTTGCATATGCATTATTTGTAGGGAGGGGATGTTCCAAGTAATAGGGCTTAATAGGGTTTAGGTTCCAGAGTTCAGGGCTTAAGGTTCAGGCTTGAGGGTGTAGGGTTTTAGGGTTTAGGGTTTAGGGTTCAGGGTGTAGGGTTCAGGGTTGAGGGTTTAGGGTTTTAGGGTTTAGGGTTTAGGGTTTAGGGTTTAGGGTTCAGGGTTTAGGGTTTAGGGTTCAGGGTTCAGGGTTGAGGGTTCGGGGTTCAGGGTTGAGGGTTTAGGGTTTCGGGTTTGAGCAGGGGGCTGGGTCTTCAGAGGTTATTTGCTGCAGAAAAGTTGTGATGGCGACATGAGCTTTCGTGTTAGATTCAATTTTTCCCGGCAGACCCATGAACCGTAGCAGCCAGCATCAGCTTGTCAAACCAATCAGAGAACCTGCATTTAATTATAGCTATGTGCACATGCGCCCAGGGTGGATCCTCAAACTGGGCAGGAGCGACCGACTGCCCATGCCTTCACATACAAGAGATGTCTGGACTTGACAATGGAGGAGCGGCGCCGAGTTCCGGCAGTGAATTCTCAGGGTCACCCAGATGATGTTTTTGGCATTGTCAAAGGACGCATGTTCCATGACATTGACGAAGCACATGCTCCACTGCTAGTGTTGCCCCACAGCAGACTTGAGACCTTGGGTTCCATTCGGGACTTGGCCCTGGAGAAGCGCAATCTCTTCTCCCAGCAACGTGCAAAAGAACTGCAGAAGCTGGCTGACACTCTGGATGATATCCGCCGACCCCAAGGGGCTGCAAGTGTTCGCAACTTGCTTGCCGGTGATGCCACTTTGGAGGAGTACAGTGGTGACATGAGCTGGCTTGCGCAACCAGGCCAAGTCCATCACCCGGCTTTGGTTGTGACAGGTAACCGATACTTTGCACACATGCCCGATGTGTCTTGGCCACTGCTGGCAACATTCCGGCGGCAGTAATATTTTACTTGGAGATGTGCAGCATACGTTGCCAGTTGTATTTCATGACTCTGTAGATTGTAATTCCATCAATGCTGAAGCATGCTGCAACTTCTCCGGGAAAGCTTGGCAGGGGTCTTGCAAGGCTGGTTGCCATGGGCTTGAGTTCCATGCGTCATGCGTGTGTGTCTGCGTGCGGCAAAATTAAATTGCAGCTGATGCAGAAACATCAGTGGCATGTTTTGAATACAGCACCGTTGCCTCAACTTGCTTCCAAGCACGAGGCCTGGCACTGGACCATGATGCAAGGCCCTGAGCCACTGCAAGTGTATAGCTGCGTGTGCGGGGGGGGGCGGGGGGGGGAGGGAAGAAAGTCGAAGAGAAAGAGTGAGACACAGAGTCAGGGAGTTTTAGTTGGGATGTGGCGCTGAGCAAGCAGCCAAAGAACGGCGCTGAACAAGCAGCCGAAGCGTTTTTGTGCTTGGCCTCGGGTGTGGGCAAGTGAGAAGAAGGCTTCATGTTAGCAATAGTAAGCTGAGTGAATGAATGCATGCATGTGTGGTTGTGTTTTCAGATATCCTCTCAAGCTGCAGTCCTGGCGTGGATCTACTGGGGCATCCAGCATCGTGTGTCCAGCATCGTGTGCCCATGACAATGAGGGTGCCTGAGGCCATCCTCTCGATGGCTGTGTTTGGGACATGTCTTCAGGCTGTGTTGGACTGGCCTGGTGGTGCAGACCAGGACAGACAACTTGATGTCTTCGAGATCTGGAGTGGAGTAGGATCCATCTGCGCAGCAGCCCAGAAAGCAGGCCTGGCTGCTGATGCCTTTGAATTGACCCGAATCCCAGGTGTGACAGATGACCCAAGCAACCCAGCAACAGAGGATTTGCTGTGCAAGGCCGGGTTTTTCCGCTGCCTGGCGAAGGTGTTGACTGTGCGGGAGAAAGGTTTGG